GAATCGCGCCTGTCGTCTCGCGACGACGTTCCATCGGGAGAGAGAGAAAGATTGACGAGTGTTTTCGTTGAGACAGTGCAAATTCGCCGACAGAATACGTTCGTTCGCTCGCGTCCCGGCTATTTATGTTCCTTCGCTGCGTTCGGAGTGACTTGTAACCCTGGCTGCATCGCAATTTGTAAAGTCACCGGAGGGGTGGAGACGAAATGTGGATTGGTTTACGATCTAACCAGGAGCTGGTGCAACGCGTGGTAAGAAAATGTATGCAGATTGGGGCTGTGTTTAGATTTTGACGATCGTGGGTGAGGATCGTGGCTACTGTTTATGAGGAGAGGCGGAAAGTTGCAACGGCCGAAGCTGGAGAGGATTGGAGTGGCTTGGGAGGAGCTTTTTGGGTTCTTGCAGGTATTGGATGAGGTCTGTATATGGTTATAGCGAGATGGGTATATTGGAGGAGGTTTTTCGACGAAGGTAATTTGTCTAGAAATAAAATTACATTTTGTGAGAATTGAGCAGGGTGTTTCTAAAGTGCAGATAAAGGATTCACTAGGTTGATAGAATTTAACTTCCTAAAAATAGTAAATTAATTTTTTTTTGTGAAAGTACACTGTTTCTTTTTTATTTATTACTCGATTAATTCGTCGATCAACGAGGAACGATCATTTTCCCGTGATTTTTGCAAGGGGTGTACGTTCCTGAGCGCGCAGCATGGCGTGCAAAATACGCGGCAAATTTACTGCCCTTTAGCCGCGGATGTCGTGGAATTCCGCGACGAAATTGTTTCGAAACTATGCGGCCACGTTTTTTGTTTCCGCGACGCTGCAAAAATCCGGCCGGACGACAGTGAAAAAATACGCTGGTTCCTTCCGACGCCGTTTTAGAGACGCTTTCGTTACCTTCTCTTTTTTTTATTTAACTCGTGCCTTCTCGTGGGTGCTTGCTCGCGTGATTCAATCTGTTTCCCTCTTCTTTCCCTCTAATTTTAATTTTGTTCGCCATTTAAATCACACCGCTTTGTGCTTTTTAAAATTTTTTTAAATAAATCGTACTTTAAATTTGACATCATTTATTCGTGAATAGAGTACTAAAAGTTGTGGATTTTCAAATACGGCTCAGCTCGTTAAAAAAGCGATCTCCAAGCAGAGTAGGTATTCGATACGATCTTTCAACCTCATTTGCTCGTTCTTTACAATCTTTCTTTCATCACTGCGGTAACTTTGCCCTCTCGAACGCGTTCTACACTCCTTATCCAACAGATTCTCTCTTACTTCCTTTGAAACTGATGTAATTATCAGAAAAGACCCCTGGTCTCTAATATTACACGCACGTGTATCGTGTAAGGGTACACGTAACATTCTAATTGTGCTTATTTCAGCATCCCCTTCTCGTAGCTTACTTTCTGCTCGTTAATCTTCATTGAAAGTATAATAAACAAGAATTGGAGCAAATGACCGTTCAGTGAATGGTTCTGTGTATCGATTTAAGTGAATCAAACGTATCCGTCCGAATTTCCCTTAACAAGCCGACCCTTCGACCACCGATACAAACACCATGCACAAACTCACCCCCATGGTCTAAAATACCCTACAAACCTAACTACGGTACACAAACCGCGAAACAACCGAAGTCACCCGAAACTTGTCCATTTGCCTCTTATCTAATCAAGCAATTATCACTTCAATTCGAACGATTTGTCGAGGCGTAATTAAGCTTTTATTGAGAAAATTCGTTGGTAGATCATTTTACATTTGGTAGTTGAATAAAAATGAAATTTAGGACATTTTTCATTTTAATTTTAAACATTTTAGACATTTTGCCAATTTACGAAGGTATCACACTTTCCTGTTTAGTATCTCTCGTTACATTAAATTTGGGAATTTATGTTACATACTGTATAACTAAAATATCAGATCCAGGAGTAACAAATCCACCAATATTCGTACACACAAAAAGTCACTTTGAAATTATTACTTTTTATCGAATAAATTTCACAGAAAAGCGGTAGATCATTGAACACTAGCGACACTTTCTCAGCAACTCACAAAAACCTCCCACTGATCCACAATTCCCAAACGAACATCACCGATTTCCCAAACGATTCGTCAAAAGCATCATCCGAAACTCGTCCAATACTTCACGCACACACCGTAGTCATACATCAAACCCGGTAATAATCGCCTCCGGTTACGGCAATTAGTTGCGCAATTTATTCCCCGAGCAAAATCGCCGCGCGATTTCGCGCACGTTGCAGGCGAGATCGATTTCCAGGGTTAGTTCGATCGCGATATCTCCGGACAATTCATAAAGGCAGCCACCCTCGTTGCCGTTGCCTGGCTGTTTTGTACGCGTCGTACGATGGTCGTCGAGGGGGTTGAAACAGGGAGAGGGGAGGTGGCGGTTTAGTCGAAAGGGGTGGTTGCGTGTGCGTGACCGAGCCTTCCGCGTTAACGGAAGCGAGCGAAGCGGCGCGCCGCCAATCTGATTGGCCTATCCTTCTCGTAATTGCCTGTAGATCCCAATCGCGATTAGTCGGGGAAATTAATACGGTTCTGGATCTGGAATTTATGCGACTCTGACGTGGATTATGCATATACGATGGCCGGCCCGGCCAGCGTGGCAATAACCGCGTCGTTACGACGACGTTATCGCGGACACGTTGGTCGCGCTCTCGCGGAAATCTCTCGCCCTGCTCTTCGCGATTTTCCACGGGATAAACGGGGGACGGGTTAATATCGGGGACGGATTGATGGCGATCGCACCGGGGTCAGTTTCCAGTGTAGAATTCCGACTGGGAATTCCTTGGGGGCGACGCGTCATGCTTGAGTCTCAGCGTGTATTACAGGCGGATTTCCGAATGGTAATTCGACGATTCTACGATACCCGGTTTATTTATTCTCTTTTGGGTTGGTTATTAATATTAATGGGTAGATAGGCAGGTTATTTTGGAATTCATTTTGCTTCGCGGCGAGTATTAATCGGTTATCTCTGCTGGGAATTAATCCCTCGAGTTTGAGAGAGATGGTTCGGTTGGACGAATTTTGTGGACCTTTGATGGACGATGTTTGGAATGGCGGTTGAAGTATAATATTTTGGGAGGAGTGGACACTTCGGTGTACTCTGTATTTTTTTTTTTTTTATGTTTTAGTGGTTTGTATTGCTTCTTTAGGAATTTGTTAAGAGAATTTTAATTTTTCTAAGTCATAATTAAGAACATAGTTAAATTCCTAAAAGACACAAACCTGTATTTTAAAATCTAACGACAGCAATATATTGAATAAAACCTTCATAAAAAACAAAAATAATAGTATAGAGGCTAGTATTTCAAAATGTGCAAGGTGTCTTTTAAATTACGTCCGCCTACTGTTCAAAGTAATAAAAAATTCCTCGATCTACCCTTATCAACTACCAACCTTTCCTCTACCTTCCAAATCCCTCCGCACCCACGCTCTAAACAACACATTCTATCCTTCGATCGCAATACCGTTCGAATTGTACCCTGCTTGTGCGGTGGACCGCCAATAATCGTCGACTCTCAGTCACGCCGTTCGATACAATCGATCACCGTTCATCCGCGATTCGGTCCAGCAGTTTTGCAGCACCGTTGAAAGAAGACAGACACACCTGGTCTAGTGGTGAACGAGCGACAAAGAGGTTTGGTTCACGGTATTAGCGTGAAAGGGTGGTCGGCATCCCCAGCGACGCAGGTCAACAGCCATTGTCCAACGGAATTACCACCAGCGGGCTCCTGTGATTAAATGCCGCTCCCCCCCTACCTTGCCCCTCGGTCCTTGGAAGAGGGTCGAGTGGCAGTAGAGACAGAGAGAGAGAGATGAGAGAAGAGGAGGAGGAGGAGGCAAAGGGATACACATGCATACCTATATGAGGGCTGGCATCCTCGCATACCTATAGCTCCTCGAAGCCTGCCAGAATCCCAGGACCCCTCACTCCCATGTTTAGCCGGATAATGCCCATTGTTTCGAGCATCCCACGCATCCTTGGCCGCGATACCTCTAGCAGAGGTTCCAGGGGAGGTGAAATGCTCGCGACGCGATACGACGCGTTCGAATGGCAACCAAATGGCTGGCTAAATGCACTCGCGACTGCATTCTGCTGGCACAGGACTCGCGATCGCTTCGTGGAACGCGTACCTTGGTATTCAGGTGCAAATTGGCCCTGTAAGCCTCGTTCTGCTACTTCCGTTCTTCCTGCGGCATTGTTAGCCAGACCTCGAGGGATCCAGCTTGATAACCAGCATGAACGCCTGGGATTCTCCATTCGAACGGCGGTTATGTTGCCTCGGAAAGATGGTGTGGGGTTTTGGGTGAGTGATTGGAGGTCAGTGATGAAGGGAGAAATTCGTGGAAATTTGTTGGATTGAAGTAGTTCGAGAATTGGAGGGTTATCGTTTATGGTGATAACTCTGGAATTTTATATCGAAATTTAGGTCATTATTATAATCATATTTTTAAATTTTATGAAATAAAGAAACTATCTTTCACTTTGGCAGAGCCACTATGACGATGCTATAAAATTTTGTTGATTTCCCACTTTCGAACTTATGGGATGACCTAATTTAATATTTTTAGTGCGAGGTGAGTTCGAAACCTTTCTATTCTACACTTCAGAGCAGCATGGTGAATTCAATTTTTTCTGTAGAATCTACAATATTGCATTACTCTTCGTGGGAAAAAATTTGATCGAAGAACATTTGCATATGAATTAAAATACAGGACATGGGAGCTATGTAATAATTTTTGCAAACGCTTAGAATAGGTACGCAGGGTAGATTAATGAACAACACACGTCTGACGTTTGCTATAAACGAGTTTTATGTACAAACACGGTCGTTGCCCCTATGCAACGTGGTTCTACATCGATTCCCCTTACACGTAATATAGACCTCGGTTCTCTTATATGTACAAAACATTGTAAAATTGCAAAACGGTGGATTCTTTTTTCTTTAGTAAGTTTCTTAGGCAGTGGTATTCTTAATCAGTTTCTCAGATCCACGGTCCCAAGCGACTCTCGAGAACGTTGGCCGCGTCCACGCGTCCCATCAGTCTTAAATGATTCAGGAGATCCGCAAGAGCCGTGGCCTCCTGGTGTTTCGCCTCCCAGAGATCCAGAATGTGCTCCGTCGGGCTCGCCTTCGTCGCGAAATAGTCGACGTATCTAAATAAAATCGCCGACCTTCATTTCAGTCTCTTGTCTTCTCTTTTCCTGCGGGAGACAAAATGATCAAATCTCACCGATCCACTTGGAGTCTTTGTGCCAGCATTCTCCAGTCATTTCCTCGTGCGCTTGGTGGATCCAGACACTGGCACAGCTGTTTTCTCAACGTTTTTGAAAATCTTCAGACAATAAGACAAATGTAATTTGACGTGGAATTTTATGATAAAATGAAAAGTCATAATGGTACTTTAAGAATACCTGAATGGCCTTGGAATGACGGATTCCGTTGTCCTGGATGAATTCTTCCCACGCAGAATGATGGACGACTCGGTTTTCGTGGTCCTCTTTCCACTAGAACTGTTTCTCTTCATCAGATCCAGGTCGATCCTCAGGAACAGAGCTTGCTCCTCGAAACCGCATTGACAGGCTCGTAGCTCGAAGCTTAGTCTTAATTCTCCGACAGTTTTCTCGATCCTGAAGGATCTTCTAACGCTGGTTCTCGTAGAACACCAGATTCTGCGGTGAGCTATCTCCTGGCGCTCTACGAAGCCACTTTCTCTGTCTTCCAGGTCGATTCGGAGAGGAGAACCGCCTGCTCTGAAGCCCAGGACTCCGTAGTCTATACGAGATCCACCTAATCTACGTTCCTAAACGAAGTTTTACACGAAATTTAAAGATAGAAGAATCTTAGTTATGAAGAAAAATTATACGTTCTAGATTCGTATTAAGAAGTAACCTGTTCGACGATAAGCTTGAAGGCTGCCTTAGTGTCGTCCATCAAATGGCACCTGATATGATCCCTCTCGCGAGATAAGAACACAGCCACGCAGATCCTCTTCACAGCTAGCCCAGGCGCAACCACAGAATTTTCCCCAGCGACTGCGTAAACACTAGGAGTCTCAGTGACCAAGAAAACCCCAGAATGATCCAACTGTGCGAACGGTTGCCCAGGAAGATTGATAGGTTCTCCACCCAGCGTCAGAACTTTCCTCCAGATCGACGTGGCCGTTAGGTTAGAACTAGTCGACGAATTGGTCGAGTTATTGGATCGAGTCTCCAGGTCTAAATCCGTGGACCAGAGACTCAGTTCCCAGTTCCCAGTCCTCAATTCGGCACAGTGCTCGAACTGAAGAATCACCGGTTTCACCAGGTCGATTCCACTAGGTCCACAAGCCACCACTGCTGACAGTAGAGTCAGACCAGGTGGTAATCCAGGTCTCAGAGAATCGTCTCCAAGCACAGCCAGGTGCAAACTGTGCCTTCTTCCTCGAGGAATGGCTCCTTCAGGTATGGACATCGAGACTCCAACCTCAGGAACCACAAGAAGAGCGCCTTGTTCGTCGACTACAGCTCTCACGATGAAAGCACCAGAGTCTTCGTGGCTTCTGTCGTCTTCGCCGAGTCTTTCATCCTCGTCGTGTTCATCGTCCTCTTCGTTCGTGCTCTCCTGGTTCGCCTGACAAGTGGAACCTGAGGACCAGGTGTCACCAAAACACTGTCACTCTATCTTCTACCTGACCAGTGTGTTTAATCACTCAACGCACACGCGAGTGACGTATGCGGGCACGCCTGACTGGCAGATTTGTGCATGCAAGTGACAGTCGCGCCCGCAGCTTGGCAGTTTGCTTAGTCTAGCTATCGATCTCTACGGATCCAAGCTATACGATATTTTGTACTATAAAATGTACCTTGCTTTTCTACCATTTTATTATTAAACGAGACAACGACACCCTGTGTTTATCGAATAAAAATAACTCCTTACGAGACGATCTGCTTTCCTCGTTGTCCGACAGACCTCTACCTCGCTGAGAGTTCCTGCAGGAGGATCTAGCCACGGAGGAACTAGGCGATGGCCTAGTGGTGGAAGGCAGCGACAGCTGTGGCACGTCGTAGTGGTGCTCCGAGCAAGATCTGCGTATCGTCAGACAGACTTTCAACGAGGGACAAGGATCGATCGTGGTTTAATTCCTCGAGGATCGTTTACCTAGGCATCCTGGCTGCGTTCGACTCGTCTATCACTTGTTCCAGCCGCCTGTCCACCGAGAGGACCGAACGATCGTTCTTCGAGACCACAGATTTAGCCAAATCGCCGGGACGCCGGAAATCCAACCTGGCCACACCGTACAAAGCCTCCATTCTTTCCTTCCGACGCATCAGTCGGACGAAGAAGATGGTGGTCAACGCTAGAACGATCGCCGCCAGGCTCAACGTGATCCACAGAGCAAGTATGTTTCTGTGATCGATCCCATGTGTTGCTGCGGCCAGACAAGCACGGATTTTTTTCAAGAATATTTTCTCTACCAATGGGACGATTCTACGCGATGGAATTTACCTTCCTTGAAGACTCGCGGTCCGTCCTGTCCAAGAGCTGCATCGTGGTAGCGCAGGGAAGAAAAGTGACTTACTCTTAGTTGCTTGCAACGTGATCTGAGAAAATCTGCAGAACGCGTCGACCTTATAGGGTTTAACAATTGTTCGTCTAATGTTTTTTACTCTCACCCTTTGAAAAATTCCACCAGAAAAATCACCAACTGTGTGTAGAATTCAATCGTTCACCTGATTCAATTATATGTGTATTTATTACACAAACGCTGGTAGCGTTTTGCACTCTGTATATGCACCGTGTGCATTTTTCAAGTGGCCACTGGCTTCGTGAAAGGGTTAATCTGCCGCGTTCCATCTGGACGATCCGTCTCCGCCGAAAATTTAATCTAATCTCCAGGAGGGTCTCTCCCTCTATACCTGGCGCGTCTGTCAGTGAACAATGGGAATATTTTGCGGCGTCCGATGACCGGTTAATCGAAGAAGATTACAATGCAATACTTGGGACCCCTGTAAGCGGCTCGGGTAGGTATACCTTTCTGCGAGTCATTATTAATTTAAATCGTATCGCCGCGCCGCGGCATGCATGCATACGACCGCAAACGACGATCATCGGACGCGACGCGGGACAAGGGAAGCCCGTTCGCTCGTAATAAATTGTCCGCCGTTGGCCCAGTCACCGGCAACAAGCGCAACACAGAGACGAGGGAAAAAGAAACGAGAGGAAAGGAGGGAGGACGGAGAGAATGGACGGAGAGAAAAGAGAAAAGGAGGCAAGAACACAGCTGGAGCTCACCATTACATCGATCCATGGAACAAGACTCGACGATGACGTCCTTGCCTTGACAGGGACGACCACCATTGCTCGCCGGGGGGTCGTTGCAGGATCTCCTCCTCGCTCTGGAACAATCGGGACCGCATGCAGACCACGAGGACCAGCTTGACCATCTGCCGTCGACCGCTGAAAGCAACGGGTGAACTTGAAAATCCCGATTAAATCTCCGCGTTATCAGATGTACTTTCACGGAGCAACCAGGCAACGATTACATCTGGGTGTTGTGTACCACGCAAGAAGTCTTTGATCGTTTCGTCGACGACGACGACGACGACGACACGAGGAACCAGTTCTCTTTCGTGGTGTTCTCGTACTGTCTGTGTAATTGTTTTGTAATTGGTCGATACCGCGGACCCTTACCGGGACAGGGAGGATTACACTCGACCCTTTGCGTTCCTGGACCTGGACAGGATTGACCTCCGTTGATGGGTACCGGGTTCGTGCAGGTTCGCGTCCTCTTTTGTACACCTCGGCCGCAACGGGTGCTGCAGTCCGACCATCCGGACCAGGAAGACCACCCGCCGTTCACTGGGAACGAATCCAACGTATAGACGAAGTTGTGTTTTTTCGGTGAGAAAAATCACGGTACTCTGTGGCCTTTGATTTGCACAATCGAGCAGAAATTTTGTGAATACGGATACGCTGCTATTCAGAAATTCGGAGAGGAAGTTTGACCGTAAGAGCGAGCCTCGGAGAATGAGAATCTTCTCGAAATTTCACCAAGGATCAATTACCTCGCTATCAATCACAAATTCCGTGAGAAAGTAGAGCAAATTACCAAAGTCCAAGAATCTGACCGCGAATACCAATCTCTCACGCGATGCTCCCTCGCAGTACAATCCTCCACAGATCCACGCGTTACGCTTAATTACCGGTCGATACGCAATCATCGTTTCTAATTACGCTCGATCCAGAACCGTTGCAATATTCATAGAACCGTGGCTGGTCTCACGGAATTCACAAGAGGTCTCACCGTAAACCGTCAGCACAGCCGGTTCACTGACCCGCCTGGCAGCGATGTTCTCAGCCACGCACGAGTAATTCCCCTGGTGCCTTAGCTCAGCCTCCCCTAGTATCAGGTGTCCGTCCCCGGTCCTTAGGAAGCTGTTGCTGGACGACACCTCGTTGGGGATGCTGTCCGCCATTGACGATGCTGGCGTTGAGCTGGTGATCGTCTCGAGGGGTGAACCATTCTTCAGCCAGTAGACCTTCGGTTGCGGTACCCCTAACGGCGGTGTGCAACGTAGTTCAGCGTTACGTCCGGCCTCCACGGACAGCGAGTATGGCGGCGACAGGAAGTGCTTCTTCAGGTCTGCAGAACAGCATAG